GGCTCCAGCCAGCACCTGGACTGCATCTTAAAATACAGGATGTTTGTTTTATACTATTTGTGTACTGCTTTGTATCTAGGCAGATTCTTGAGTGGTAAACAGTTAAAATAACTAGAAAAGATAAAAGAATAAAAACAATGTATTAAAACCAAGATGAATTTGCAGGAAAAAATAGAGGAATTAAAGGAACTTATTTTACCACAAGGAAGCAGAATATCAGACCATCAGCCAAATGTGAGCCACCTGGGGTACCTAGCCCTAGCCCTAACCCGAACTCCCAAACACTGGTCTTTTGCTGATTTCCTTGCTTTTGTGCATTTTTGCCCCATTCTAAAGGTCTGGAATGCCTTCCCCAAGACTTAGTTACCGGGAGCAAGAACACTGTTGTTGTTGTTGCTGTTAGGCGCCATCAAGTCATCTCTTATAAATGGTGGCCCTATGAATGCAAGTCCTCCAAAATGTCTTGTCCATGAAAGCCCTGCTCAGCTCTTGCAAACGCAGGGCTGTGGCTTCCGTTATGGAGTCAGTTCGTCTCATATTTGGCTTTCCTTTTCTTCTTCTGCCTTGGCTTTCCCTAGCATGATTGTCTTCTCCAGGGAGCCTTTCCTTTTTATGACATGTCCAAAGTATGACAGTCTCAGTTTTGTCATTTCTGCTTCCAGAAAAAGTTCTGACTTGCTTTAATCCAGGGCCAACTTGTTCATCTTTCTTTCTGCCCAGGACATTCACAAAGCTCTCCCCCAGTGCCATGTTTCAAATCTATCCATTTTTTCCCTGTCAGCTTTCTTCACTGTCTAGCTTTCACACCCATACATAGTGATCAGGGATACAATAGTGTGGATGACCTTGGCCTTAGGTAAGAGCATTAAACTAAAATAATCTTAATTTTGCCCCAGCACTTTTCACCATATCCCTTTTGCATTTTGTCCTACCCACCACAGGAAAGTGGGCCAACCAAGCTTTTCTCAAACTGAATTTGGCCCTCAGGCTGAAAGAAGTTCTCTATTCCTGGACTGGCATCAACTTCCTGTTTTGAGCTGAAGATAGAAAGAATTTAGCTACCTATCAGTGAAGCAAGTCAGTCATCAATGAGACAGGAAACAACATAAGAAGCTTGCAGCATAACAAATTTAAGTGTAGTATAAAAAGGCCCTGCCCAACAGATTATTATGTCTCTCTGGTTCCAAAGGACAAAGTTGTTTGCTGAGTGGAACTTTATTAAATCAGCCAGTTAGGAGAGCAGCTGGCAAAATCTTGAATCAAGCAAGCATAAATACTCTCCTGAAGGGCATTTTTTTTGTCACAGAATGCACCAGAACAGCATTCCGGCACCTTTTTTTGACGGATTTTTCCAAGTGATTGTGAATTGCCCTGTTGGGCGTAGCAGATCAGCGGCAGAAATCATTAACATAGTGCCTGTGGGCTGCTTGTGTGTCGCTGCTGATTGTCGCTGCTGTTTGTGAGGGCGCTGATCGGCTTGGGATGCTGCTCGGCTTGGGATCGGTTGTGTGGTTGAGTGCTTACTGCCGGCGGTGACCATTGTGTAAAAGTGTGACCCCAAGACATGAGTTCCGGCACCTTTTTTTTTTTTTTTTTTACAAAAAAGCACTGCTCTCCTGTATTTGAACGTAGCTAATGTCCCCAAGTATAAAAAGATATTCCATGCACATTTCCACTGACCCACACACTGATGGAAGTTAGTTTATCTAAATAGATTCAATATTTTTGTTTTAATGCTACATGACATCATCCGTATCTCAAGTAGTATTTTTCCTGTTTTGAATATTTAGCTCTTACGACAATTTTTCCAGCTCCTGAACTAGGGCTACTGCTATTAAAAAGTGAAGCACCAAAGAAAGATTCTGCAGGGGTTTCTATCTGTCAGAGTAACTCAAATGCCTTGCACCCTACATGCCTTGCCAGGAGCACTGGTCCTCGAGTCCTGCTGTAGTCTTGTTTGAATCAACAAAGAGTCTGCTATCGGCCAGCTCTATGCCAATTTCAAAGATTAGCAGAAACCTAGAGAAAAAATCTTCTGACTCGGCTCCACATTTATGAAACTTCTTTTCCACAGGCTAGATTTCAGTCTTAATCTTATGACTGGCTTCAGACAACAAGATAAACCACTGAGTTCTTGAACCATGGACTGTTGAACTATGAGTTATCACCATGGTTCATTACCTTGGCTAGGTTCAGACAACATAATAACCCACATTTCAACAACACCCCTCAGCCAACCCTTGGGTGTTGATTATGTTGTCTCAGGCCAGTGAATGTAACTGTAACTTAAGTCCCATTCATTTTAATAGTTCAACTCTGAATGGAGTTACAATGTCAAGCCTGAATCTGTAGTGAAGACACGTTTCATGGGGTAATTCTTCATAATTAAGACTGTATATGTATTTAAGACGGATTTATTAAGTATCTTTCTACTTACCACATGTAAAATACAATACTCAAAGAGACAAGCAAACAAATCAGCAAAAGACCTATGGACTATGCTAATCAAGATTACTGAGCAGCACAGGAAATGTTACAACCTGATGCTTTCCAGATATTTTGGACTACAACTGCCAGTATCCCCGACCATTGGCCAGGCTGGCTGGGACTGACAGGACTTCAAATTCAGGTTGGAGAAGGCTAGTTTAGGTTAATGCTGGTTCAAACTCACCTCACCACAAGTTCCCTACTGACCATAGGCAAACCACTATTTTTCAGCCTCAGCCCTGCACCTGTCATATGAGGGTAATGAAACTGGCCTATTTTACGAGGGTATTGTAAGGATTGCTGAAAATGTGTATGTCGAGTGCTTTGACTATATTATCCTTGGATATCAACCTTGATATAGGACAATGGAAATTCAATATGCGCATGTGGCATTTCTCTGGTGACTCAGTGCTAAAGGGGAAGCTAGCATGGGTTTGCTCTGCTTGAGAAGTTCCTATAGGTATCTTGATGACCACTGAAACTAGCTTGGATCTGAATAACCAAACCATTTCTCATGCTGCTCTGTAATAATTTAACTGTTGCCGCTTACTCCAAGGTGTTGTTCTTTCACTCATGAAAGTATAAGTTCTATTTTTGCACCATTTTATTAGCAGCAGATCTACCTCAAAAGTTTTGAGTTCCTGGTGGAAAATAACAACCTGTTCTTTCAGATTAGTAAGAGAAGCCAGAATGTCTATGAATCATCTAAACAAATGCTTCCATAGAGACAGACACAATAATTCTGCATTAGTACAGTGTAGGACGCACTGGGAATATGTAGGACACAGATATATCTCATTTAAGACATTGATTTTTTAATCATTTGAACCATTTATTTTAATTGGGAATTACCTAGGAAAATGTGTTAATGATTAAGATTTAAAACACTGCATTTTTCCATGGCTAATCAGTATGGAACACCCAAAATTTAAACCAAAATAATTCAGTACAAGGGACTAAAGCAGCTTTCCTCAACTAGGTAAGGCTCCAGATGTTTTAGGCTACAATTCCCATGATTCCCACCCAGCATGGTCAATGGTTGGGGAAAGCTTGACTAAAGGAAAAGGTTCTTTGTCCTATACACTGATGGAAGTACAGTCCAAACTGAGAAGAGACTTTTCTGAATGTTTTGGATACAGGAGGGAGAAATTTTTGATGCAATGAAAAACTGGCACACATGTAATTCCTATCACTATATAAAGGTAATTAACTCCAGAACCTTGAAATACAAACTTCCAGCCCCAAAATAATATTGTGATTGCATGCATATTAAATATTTTAAAAATCAAAATCTGTGCAGCAGAATGTTCACATATGGCATCAGCAGTGTGTATCAGTCCTCAGGTCAAAGTTGCTTATGTCTTACAAGAAATCTTCACATTTCATTAGAAGGGGGACAAATAAGTGAATAAGGCTAGGAAGCCAAACATGGATTGTGTTAGAATCACATGGCCTAAAGGGATCAAAAGGCCACTCCAGGATCAAACTACACATGATGCTAAGTGCATCTTTGAGATTCTCCCCTCACAGTAGCCACAGAGACTTGAACCAGATCAAGTCTGTAGCACACTAAGAATTCCATCCCACACTGCTATTTGACCTTGAAACAGCTAATAGCAGCAAGACTGGTTCTTGTTAATAAATTATGGATTCCAGGTGCACTTGGAGAAAGTTCCATTCTCATTCCGGGCCCGGATGAACATCACTGGCTCTGTTGAATGCAGTGGGCTGTGCCTTACAAAGCAGAACTGGGCCCTGCTCAGCTCTTCTGCAACCAGCAACAGTACTGTTTGTTTCTGAAATTAGCATGTTATATAATGATGCTTTAAGGATTCACCATGAGACATGATATCATAGCCTAAAAATGCAATCCAAACAACCAGTCTGCTCAGCTTTACAACTAGCAAATTTGAACATCCTGGCAAACTATGCAGCTTTGATTTACAAAACAGTAGGTAATAGCTGGATCTTTCTGCAGAAGTGGTGTTCCAGTATTTGAGAAGTACACATGACTTCATTCTGGATCTAGTTTTGTGCCTTTAACAAAACTTCAAGCTTAAAAAAAATGAAAAATAAAAAATGCACTTCTACTCTGCATGAGAAGCTCAGCACAAGTGTTCCGGTTGCAGACCACACAGGAAACAAGTTGTTTGTTGGTAACATTTCTACTGTGCTCTTGGCCTTTGGCAGAGCTACTACTGAGCCTAATGATCTGTCACAGGGCCACACAGCCTCACGAAGCAGGAAGTCTGCTGTTGTCAACAATCACACAATCAGAGCCATTCCAATTTTAAGGGCAATTCCTTAAAAAAAATTCCTCCATTTTAAACAAAGTACAAATAAATAACCAAGCTTTCTCAAATTGCTTTCATAAGCCACCAGATTGTCCCCAAGAGCTTTTGCCTGAAACCGGATAGCTAATTAACATTTATTCAGTCTGGCCTTACCCATCAATTGCATACTGCGGCATTATGCAGTGGCTACAGGGCCACGAGGGAGCCCTGAATACTCACAATGAAAAGTCTTGGAACCCCTGGAGCAAGCCTTTCGGTTTTCACCTTCCACACCAAGGGCAGGGGAGAGTTCAGTAAGAACACCAGTGACTTCTGGTGGATATGAATGGAAGAAATTGGATTCAAATGCAAGGCGACCTGTAAAAACAACAGCAACAATTCACCAATTAAACACAAGCAGTTCTTGGTTTATCTTTTCTAGTGTTGTAAGACCGTTGCATACATTAGTTGAATAATCCTTACACATGGCCCTGTTTATAGGTTTATACTATTATTTCTTATGTTATAGCTGGGGAACATTTGAAGCTGTGAATGTGCAGCATGCTCTAGTTTAGGGGTTGCCTACCTTTTGGTGCTGTCGCTATGGGCATAACTGGCCATTTGGGAACCTGTTGTGGGTGCTACCACAATATGGCTGCCATTGGAGGCATGGCGAAGGACAAATAATCTGTCCAAAGGGCTGAGAACAAGAGGTGGGGGCTGAGAATGAAAACTTGTTTGAACACAATTTCTAGCACCCACAGAAACCTACTTCACAGCAATTTCAGCTGCTGAAAAGAAAATGCGTGGGTGCTTTTTTCAATGCGAGTTCTGGGTACCTTGCTGAGACTGAAGGAACATGTCTACTGGTGCACATGAGATTTGAACCTCATACTTCCTAGCTCCCAGCTTGCACTTCTTGGCCTTAATAGGGCTTCCAGATAATACTTTTATTGCACAACTGACCTGCTCTATTCATGGATTTTTATGAGGCCAAACAAACATAATCAGCTTCCATTTGAAACCCTCCCATTTTTCTCCCCACAATGAATTTCATCTTCCTCAGCCTTCCCCAAATGCATGCCCACCTGGTGTTTGGGATGACAACCCCCATCTTCCCTGGCCACTGCCCATGGTGCCTGCGGTTAGTTTAGCTCATCTGAAGTACACCACGTTGTGGAAAATTGGCCTTTTTTCTTACCAAAGATAATCCATTACAGCAAAATAAATGCTTTTTTCCATTTAATTTCATACATTTCTCTATCATTCAGTAACTGAAGCTCTTTTAGTGGTTTGCAAAGATTAAAACTTTAAAAATAGATTATTAAAAACCATACACATGTAGGCATATAGACAAACAACACAGAGAGGCACATATGTATTAAAAGCAATTGATTTTGATGGATAGAACTAGGAGCTCTCCATCTAGAAGCATCCTTCTCCTCCTCAAAAGAGTAGAGGAGGCAGGCTGCCAACTGCATTCGGCAGCAATCACAACGCCACTCACAACCCAACCCTAAAGCCTCTGCCTGAAAAAGGAGCCTGGAACGGAACCACAACATCACTGTCTGCTGCCTTTCCACCTGATGTCCCACTACAAAACGTGAAGCAAATAGGGTGAAGATGCACAGTCAGCCCCACCATTTGAAAAGCACACCTAGCTCCACAGAGCTCCCTCCTGCCCCATTCGTTCTTCCAAATATATAGGAATCAATAGAGGCACAAGTCATCTTAGCCTGTCTGAAAGAAGAAACCATCCTTTGCTGCAAAGTCTAAGTCATGAGGCTGACCAGTCATTAGAAGGGAAATCTAGAGTTAAGCTTGTAAGCTTGGCATGAGGTTTACTATTACAAGCAATTCCAGGGAAGAGATGAGATAACCTTAGCTCTTGTGACAGAGTGTGTGCAAACTGTGAAAGACCTGCTGCTTGTTAGTGAGCAATTGTGGGAGAGAGGCACGGTTGGCCTCTGCTTAGTGACGTTTGGAATACAAAATTCCCTGCTCCCCAGTAGATGAATTGTTTTCTTTAAGGGCCTGTGTAAACGATACTTTAAAAACTAACTTCCTTCTCAGTCCTCTTAAGAAATTAAGTGTATATGAGGTGACACTGGGCAGGACAGACAAACTGAACAACCTGAAGTTGCAGAATGTTTCTAGGATCAATCCACTGGGCACGGCATCATGGGACAGAGTGATGCCAATCCAAAAGCCCATCAACGCCTTCAGGCAAAACATGGGAGGTGAAAATCATCTGGAAACTTCAGTTAATACAACATATGGTGGAAGGAGCACTGACTGGAATTGGGCAATATAATCATATTACAGCAGTCTTTCACCATCTTAACAGCCCCCTAGTTTGTTTCCAGGTTGAATTCAAGGTGTCCATTTTGGCTTATCAAACTCTTCACACAATCTGAAGGACCACTTCTTGTCATACAGTCCTACCTGGACAGAATGTCCTACATTTAGTGAGCTGCCACAAATTAGCTGACCTTTCCAGAGAGGTCTGCATGGCACCTACTTTACTGATTTTTGGGGGCATCACACAAATACTTTCTCTTAGGACCTTTAACTTGCTATACAGTCTACTATCTAGGTGTATTGTAAAAAAGAATGTGTTTTCAATTTTTTAAATATTTTTTTTCAGTTTTTTAGACCATTTGCTAAAGCAGCATCAAATCATTCACTGTGAAGTTGTACACTTCCAACCATTAAGTCCAAAGGATGATACAATACAGCCCTTGTATTTTTAGTTAAAATAGAAATGGCAGTTTCATTAGAAAATTATTTCTGTTTTTTTCCCCATACTGATAGAGCAATAGATAAGAAATACAGGGGCCTTGTTATTAAGTAAGTTGAAGTTCACTGTACACATTTAGTAGCTAATACATCTTGCACATGAAAACGGGTATTATCTACAGAATAATGTTTCTGTGGGTTTTACATGTCTATGCAGTTGAGGATTCTTTTCAAAAGAGCATTGCAAACGCATATGATATCAAGGAGGTAAAGACAGCTGCAAACTTTCCGTTTTCCTGGAGATACTAGTTTCATGGAAGATCAAGCATCACCACAGCAACCAAAGTACAAAAACAGATTATGGGCTTGTGCCCCATTATTCTGGCAAAGTAATTTGTATTATAGGAACAGACTGAGGCACGGATATTGAAAATGATCAAAGTTAAAGAGGGCCGTTGAAGTATAATTTGGTTTTGCTGACTTTAAGGCCTCAAATCACATGCTTACCAATGCTGTTATGAAAGTCAATGCCCAGGGTTTTCTAATGCTGAACTAACCACTCTAGTGTGAAAGGCTCCAGAGTAATTCACAGCACATTTTTCCAAAACAACCATTACAAATTTGCACTAATAAAGCAGGGCAAAAACATATCAAGTTACCATGCCCATATTGAGGCAGCTGTTCAGAAAAGCAAAAGAGAGAAAATAGACTTCTAAGCCTAAGATGTTTCATGCTTTCTATCTGCAAATCTCAACCAGAGTATTATGCCTTAAGGAGCACTTATATAAACCAAATTAGGTGCTCAGGTATAAAGAGAAGGTTAACCCATTACTTTTTGGGATAGCCTATAAACCATGCCACAATGCTTCAACTCTTCTAAATCCTGCTGCAAGATTTTCGAAGGTGGTGCACTCCAGATGTCTTGGACTTCAGATTCCTTCAACCCAGGCCTGCAGTACTGGGTGTTGTAGTCCAAAGCATCCAGGGGGGCACAGGCTATGGCAGGCTATTCTACCTCATCACATTTTGGTACATTCTCACTACTGCTACTTTCATTGTCTCACTTGTTATACTGCTATCCACCGTCCACATACCAATGAGACCCATTTGTGTAGCCACCAGCCTCCTCACAAATCTTGCCTCTTGCTTAGCAGCTGGAGTGCCCCCCACCCCATGATTCGGTCCTGAGACCTCCAAGTGCTGACCCTTAATATATACTGTTTTATTGGGGCACTAGATTAATGCTAATCATTGCCCCGAATAAAATTCTTGTTCCGTTTAGACACTTTCTTCACTTTTTTAGAAGCGGCACCTATTTGTATGGTTATGATTTATTATGGGCAGAACTGCTGGAATAAGAACAAATTAGAAAACAACCACTGGAAACTGACAATTGTACATACAGGTAGGAACTGGCAGCCAACAGATGGATGCAGGCTACTCCAAGAATTTTACTAAATCCTCGCAGTGCCCTTTGCCATATGAGCACCCAGACTATGTTGTAGGAAGGCAAAAGGCCTACTCAAGTGCAACAGAGCAAAAGAGTGCAAATAGGCTGATAGTATCAGAAACGTCTTGGTAGGAGTCTGATCTCCTTTTGAAGGGTAAAAGGAGGAGCTGACGCTTAAAGGAAGAGCAAGTCAGATTTAAAGTGTGGTGTCTCTAGCTGGGGCTAGGGCAGCATGCTTGAAACAGAGAGTTGTTGCCAGCTAATGTCAACAACAGAGCCAGAGTTGTGTGATGGCTGGAGTATCAGACTGGACCTTGGGAGTCTCCTCTTGAACACTCAGCTCACTGGGTAACCTTCAACCAGTCATAGACTCACAGCCTAACTATCAAGACTAAATGTAGAGAAGGATTATGTAAGCTTCTCTGGGTTTCTTGGAGCAAAAAAGATGGGCTATAAATATAAGTAGACAGGAAGGTAGATAAATAGATGGAGCAGTGTCTTCATGCAAGGCATCTTCCTATGTAAAACATGGGATTGTAGCCAATGCTAGTCCTACTGAGCTCAAACCCATTGAAACAAATGAGGCTTCAAACAGACCATCACTGACTGTACCCTATACTCTATCGGTATCTGTCTTGTAGGCTTCCTGCACTGCAAAGCAGCAAAACAACTGATGGTGAATAGGGCTACATGCAGGATCTACTTGGGAGCACAAAGACTGCCTCTGCCTTGTAACCACTATTCCTATAAATCTACTCTGGAAATAAAAAGAATTGTGTCCTTTCTGTTGCCATTGGGAGTGGTGATGGGACAACTCTCCTTCAAAGCATGTTCAAGAAGCTAAAAAAGAACGATAACTGGCCAGGTGGGAAGGAGGGCAAAACTACCACCTTCAGACCACCAGGTGCCCACTTCAAGTACTCTGTATTGTGTGTATGGTATTTTAAAACATACATCATGCCCCAAAATTTTCTCTATAGTACGCAAGGTATCAGAAATAAATTGAATTCTACTTATTCATTTCTACGTGATGCTGATCATCTATTAACAGTAAAAAAATCAAAAGCGTTCTAGGATTAAGTTCTATTTTCAGGTCTAAAAGGGTGAATTTTATCATCTGAAATTACCAGGTATTACAGTATGTCAAATAATTATCTTTGGTTTTTCTTCTGAATCCCACTATTCTTTA